ATTTACAGAGAGAACTAGAGACAGAAAGATCTGCTGGTTCACTCCCCAAGTGGATGTCATGGCCAGAGCTGATCCAATCTGAAGCCAGGATCCAGGAGCTTCTGAGTTTCCTACATGGGTGCAGGATCCCAAGATTTTGGGCCATACTCTACTGCTTTCCTAGGCCACAAGCAGGAAACTGGATGGGAAGTGGAGCAGGCAGGACACGAACCACTGCCTACATGAGATCCTGGTACATGCAAGGTGAGGATTTAGCCACTAGACTATTGTGCTGGGTCCAGAGCCCCTGCTTTTGACAGTACATTTCCAAAGGTGGGACTGCTGGATCACCGCAAGATAAAATGTCCCCACTTGCTCTGGAACTGTCACAGTGTTGTCCAGTGACTGGTAGACTTTGCACTCTCGTCAGAGGCACACAGGTCTTTCCTTTCCATCCTTGCCAACATTCCTTCTATTCCCACTGACGGCTTGAGGGTAGTCCCTTTGGATCTCACCAGCATTTCCCTCATCATAAGGAGTGATGAGCATCCTTCCATGTGCCTGTTGGCCCCTTGTTTATCTTCTTTGTAGAAATGTTTATCCAAGTCTTTCATCTGGCTTTTTGGTGACCCCCCCTCCACTGGGGTCACCGAAACACAATGAGGTACCCCTCTCCAAATCCATATTTGATGGCCAAAGCTGAGTACTTCCTGCAATGTCCCAGCTTACCAGACTAGGAAATGGAATTGCAGGGAGTGGAACATTCTATGAATTTCTAAACACATGACCACACTAACTCTATAGAAGACACAAAATACCCGACCCTATTCCGATTCTACAAGGACACATCAACGTGATGTCACTTTCGGATGGCACAGACCGAGAGGCCACAGTGATGGCATTGTTCCTTGTGCCTCCACACACAATTCACTGATACCACAGTGACGACATCATTTCCTGTGTGTCCACTCACTGCCCTGAAATACCAGTGATGGCCTCACTCCCTGTCTTCACACAATGCACTAGATACCAATGATGACATCACTGCCTTTGTGTTCATTCACAATGCACTGAGATATCACAGTGATGACGTCATTTCCTGTGTCGTCATACAATGCACTGGATTCCACAGTGGTGACATCATGCCTTCAGCCTCCTATAGGCTAGATAATGAAAGGCAGAGTCCTTTAGACTCCTTTTGTATCATCCCAACTGGGGTCATAACAGGTCCATTCTCACTCGATGACATCATTAGTGTTACTTCAGTCCCACAATATCAACATGAGGCCATTTTGGAAAGTTCTGGTCAGTTTAGAACCTTAACTATTATACATTATCACAGGCCTGGTGTGATGGTTCAGTGGCTAAATCCTCATCTTGAAAGTGCTGGAGTCTTCCTTGTGTCCTGGGAAAGTAGCGGAGGATGGCCCAAAACCTTGGGACCCTGTGCCTGTGGAATGCATAAAATCTGTTCTCTTCATAGTAATAAGCCTCAGAAAGCATCTATTTCAATATTGCAGGAAAAAGGAAAGTCTGAGTAACTTTAAAGTATTTTTGGAGCCACTTTCAAATCATAATCAATACAGACACACCACCAGGTACATTACAACCACAGCAAAAGACGAGTTGTGTCACTGCTCCATTTAGGGGAAACATGGTAACCTGCACAAGTCACTTATTTTTAATTTGCTGGTAGAGACAAGGGGTGGGCACTGCTCTGAAGCACATGGGTGCTGGATGCATGCAGGTGTTAGCAAAGGCTTGTGACGTTGCTCAGCCCTCCCAGGTGAATCCGGACTCTGACAGGGCCCCCCACTCCTCTTTGTTCCCTGTGACTGTGTGGTGTGCACTAGTGCGCCACCCACTAAAACAGTAGAGGATGCAGGGCTATTAGAGTGAGCCTGTGCAGGGCCGGGCCAGGTGTGCTTCCTGCGCAGTGTGGTGTTAATAGCCAGATAATATTTAGGGTCTACTCTTGCTCTGCCACTTGGCTCATGTAGGACCCTTGCCAGGCCCTCGGAGTCTCACCTCCCTCCCTCAGCCCTCACTGCTCACTCTGAAACCTAAGAAAGGACATGAGGCACAGAAGGTGGTCTTACCACGTTAACTGCCCAGCCAGGCTCCTTATCCAGGAAAGCTGAGCCAGAGCCCACTCTCTGCCACTCTGACAAGTACCCATCTGTGTGGATGGAGCAGGAGGCCTGAGGGCCAGGGAGTGAGCAGAGGTTAGCCCACCAGGGCACCTTAACACTTAACACACTTAACTGACTCCCCTCCCCGGATCCCCTATGGGAGAACCATGATTAAGGGAGAAGGCTTGGACACCAAGTGAGCTCCAGCCAGAATCTGGTGAGTGAGGCCAGCAGAGGGCAGAGATGGAAGAATGGGAGTCTAGGACCGAGGTTCCTTTGTCTGCCCCACTCCTCCTCATCCATCCCCAGGGGAGCACAGCCTAGCTCCCAGACAGCAAGGAGCTGTTGGGGTGTCTGCACACAAGCTCAGGCCGGCTAGTTCTGGGGAATCTGTCCAGCCATCTCTCAGCACTCATGGGGGAAGTGGTCCCTGGAGACCATCCTGATACCTAAAGCCACTGGACAGGCTAGAGCTCATATAGAATGAATCGCCATGCACTGTGCCCATAGCACATAGCCCAGGGGTCTGCCCATGTATGGTACCATGGCCACTGCTCTGCAGATCTGCTCCATGTGAGCAGGGAACTTCCACAAGTACCTGGGAATCATGGGTCTCAAAGTGGGGGTCTGCAGGCAGTGGCTGAGGCACCACAGCTGGGGATACGCTGGAGCAGGAGAGTGCCCAGCCAAGTGAGAGAACTGAGGGCTCAGCAAGGAGACTTTCATGTGCTCATGGGTCACCCCCGTCTGCTGCTCCAGGGCTGTGCCCAATCCCTGTGTCTGCCCAAGCCAGGATCACCCAGGGCACCTTCACACACTCCACCTGCTTCATCCCTGCCAGGGAAATTCTAGAAAATGCTTCTAGAAGTCGCAAATCCAAAAGCAGGAATCAAGTCCGGAGCTTGCGATTGGGTAGCAAATGCTAACAGAGGAATTCTATCTTTCAAATCAAGCTTAAGGCGTGCTGGAAGACAGCTCTAACTGCCACTGATTCAGAGGCAAGTCAGCACACTGTCCTCCCACCCCAGACATGGGCCGCATCCCTGCTCAGGACCCCTACGTAAACTTTCCCACAAACCCTCTTGGCACGGAAGGAAGTGATGCTCTTCCCCAGCGACGTAACAGTCCAGCTTGGGATTTCTTTCCCAGAAATGTGTAAATAACAAAATAATCTCTCATTCAGAAAAAGACATGCTCCCAGAATACAGGTGCTTCTAACCACACCCCTCCAGCATGTTCCCCAGGGGAAGCCTCATGCCCAGTGGATTCCAGTTAGACACTGCCCCAAGGGACTCCTGACCCAGTGCAGGGAGAATCCCTAGTTCTCCAGAGTCCCACTGCTCTCCTACGGTGCCTTCCCCCTCTTTAGCTAAACACATGCAAAACAAACCAAAACAGCACAACTTCTCTGGAAGGAGGAAAGTTACCAAAGGCTGACAAGGTTCAGCATGTGCATTTCTGTGGCACTAAGAAAGTGCAACTTCTACTAACTAAACAAAAAAAGCTTGTATAATATTGGCCCCGAAACTCATGCTCTTCATTGATAAAGGAATAGCAGCTGATCAGATGTTGAAAAGATACCCTCATGTCCTGCTGCTGAACACACCATGTCCTGTGGCGAGAGCAGCATGAAGGAGGAGATGGAATTTAAACCCCAGCACCTGGCAGGATGCACAGGGCAGCATGGTGTGGGGATACCCTCGTGTTCTGCCTGTGACAGCAGCCTGCAGCACCAAGTGGACAGGACAGCCAGGAGGAGCCAGAATTTAAACCCCAGCACCTGGCAGGATTCACAGGGCAGCATGGTGTGGGGACACCCTTGTGTTCTGCCTGTGACAGCAGCCTGCAGCACCAGGTGGACAGGACAGCCAGGAGGAGCCAGAATTTAAACCCCAGCACCTGGCAGGATTCACAGGGCAGCATGGTGTGGGGACACCCTCGTGTTCTGCCTGTGACAGCAGCCTGCAGCACCAGGTGGACAGGACAGCCAGGAGGAGCCAGAATTTAAACCCCAGCACCTGGCAGGATTCACAGGGCAGCATGGTGTGGGGACACCCTCGTGTTCTGCCTGCGACAGCAGCCTGCAGCACCAGGTGGACAGGACAGCCAGGAGGAGCCAGAATTTAAACCCCAGCACCTGGCAGGATTCACAGGGCAGCATGGTGTGAGAGCCATGTGCACCCAAAACCACACTCGCGAGGGCATGAGATGGGCCAGTGTCATCCAGACTCCCAGGCAACTCCAACTGAGGAAAAGCCATCTAAAATGCTCAAGAGGTACTTTCTTCTAGAACATGCCACACTTCCGGCTTTTCAGACAGATTTCCAATGGCATGCTATGAAAACTGTGGACAGGAGCTGGCGGCTTCTGAGAAGCCACTGGAGGGACAAGAGGAACAGCAACTGGGCTTGCAAAGGGAGAAAGACACACCAACAGACAGTGGCTGGCCCCGGTCCCCAGGCGCTGGTCCTGCCAGATGTTACCCAGGTGAGGCTGCATCATGAGCTAGGCTGGACAAAGAGGTCTCATGGTGTTGCTGCCTGCTTTTGGGCACAGGGTCCATGCTCAGAGGGACACCTCAGACTGCAAGTGGCAACAAATGTTACTTCCTAGATACCTACATGAGCCACAGCACTCCTATTCTCATTTCACAGGAGCACCCTGCCCATGCGCAAGTGTGTCCCTAGACAAAGACCTCAAGCTTGTGCTGCCACAGCAAGCGGCAAGCACAGGTCAGCAAGGACTAGTAACCGCAGCAGCTCCCACCTGCAGTATGCGCAGGAATGCAGTGCTACTCCTCTCATGTTCGCCCCACACCTGCAGGCCTGTGTTTGCAGGGATGCCTCTGGGCTCAATGGGGCCATCTCAAAGTCGCCAATGCATGCTTACCTTTTCTGACACTTTGTCCTGTGCAGGTGGTCTGGCGCTCGGAGGGGGTGGGGCCCGGCGCTTCTTCTCCGATCTCAGGGACACTCCTGAGACATTGCCCAGAGAGAGGGACGGACCTAGCGTCATGGAACGGGAGGACATGGATGGGGAGTTGGGTGTTGTCAAGCAGCCCTGCTGGGAGAGAAAAGGAGAAAGCCCCTGAGTGTGAGATGACCACATCTGCCACACTGCCAATCACACGGACTCAGCAAAGGACGGGGCATGAGAGATAGCTTCTTTGTTTTCTAGGCTCTGATGTCTAGAAACGTGGTGGTGTGGCAGCAACAACACCTGGGCAGCCCTGGCTCATAGCATTAGTGCCCCTAGCACCAAGTCCTCTAACAGGGCAGGGAGCAGGTTGGGGGACACACTGTGCTGCTGAGCTCTGCTCAATAGAAAACCTGTTAACACAGAGTGCTCAGAGACCAAGTGCTGATTTCCCAAGAAAACCAGAATGGTGGCCACCCCTGCCCCTGGAGGCCCTGGCCTGACCGCCACATGTGAACAACACCGGGACAGCCCATACACCCTGGAGATGCAGCTGTGCTGACCCCTGGCTTGGCGACTCAGAAGCCACATGGTCTCATCAAGTTCTGCCTTCATTCACATCCCACACAAGTGGGGGTGAACACGCATGCCTGTCCACATGTGGTGGGTGCCATGACCAACACACATGTGCTGCTGGACATGTTGCCTGCACATCTGCCTGTGAACTCCACAGACATCCAGACACCCACGGCTATCCCCTGGCTTGTGGCAGCTCCACATTTGTGGGAAGGGACAGGTACAGAAAGAGGGTTTTATATAATGGCCGAGGGCCAGGTTTACTCCAATGATTGCTTCTCCCCACCTCAGCTGAATGGGCAGGCAACTATGAGATTTGGAACACCCAGTGTTACTTGTTCTAAGATATGAATTCTAGTATGTCCTTCCTGGTATTCTATCTTTCCTTTGTCTTGTATTTAAATGTGAAAATCAAAGACTGGGGGATGAAAACCTGAGGGCAGCAGGGGGTTGTAGACTGCTGGTGGTGGGGTTTTCCAGTTGTGCCCCCCCAGAGTTCTGCTGGATGCGTGGGGCCTTTCCGAGCAGAGGTAACTCAGTGTGGGGTGGACACTCAGACTGCCATCCTGTGACAAACCGGCTGCCACTGCATAGTGGCCATGCATCTGTGACATGCTATGCCCTTGCCAGCACACATGGAGGGTTCCCCCAGGCGCAGGGAGCCTGGCACGCCAGCTGCAGAGGCTGCCATACAAGTGCTGTATCAGTCACTCCCCAGTCCTTGAGTGCAGAGCCTTTGCTCTCATCGCTGAGCAAATGTGCAGCGCACACAGCTCCCTCAGGTATCCAACCCTGCCCTGAGTCCATCCCCATCACGGCTGGGAGGATGAGTGGGACAGACTCAATTGCCTAGCAACGCTGGACCCAGTGGCTGGAGTACAAGAGGCGCAGCCCCAGGGGTGGAGCTTCGCTGGGCAGCTGCTCATGCAAGGAGCCCCACTGGAGGAAAGAAACCCCAGCTTCCTGCTCAGACTCAAGCACAGGCTAGACGCAGACCCTGGGACCATCCACTCTGCTCTATTTCCTCAATCCTGGTGTCTGCTGATGGGGAATGTACACCACACCTGTGGTCTCACATAATACCTGCACATACAAGTTGCCACACATGCACATGTGCTTACGTCTGTACATGTGCAGACACATACATGCACTCACATCCCTTGCAGTTGCTGGGGAACTGTACCCTCTATCACTTGGCACGTGCCCCACACCACCCCAGTTCTAAGTGTGCCCGTACTCACCCTGACCTGACAGAGCCCCCAGGTCCCCTTGCCAAAGCCCTTGCACACACAGGCTGCCTGTCCGAGTGGCCACTCCAGGACACTTGCCCTCTGCTCTTGAATGCCCAGGGCGCTTCACAAGGCTCTGAGCAGAAAACACATTTAAAACACCTGCGCCTTCCTGCTCCACATCTGGTCCAGGTGTGTATTCTGCAACCCCTTGTCCCCACAAACACCCTGGCATGGTGGCTGAGCGTGGCTGGGTATGGACTTGAGGGCCACACCTCCTAATCTTACCACGCCAGCATTGCAAGGATGCTAGCGTCGTCAGCATGGAGGAGGCCGTCTGGCCGGGGTGCCCAGCTCTACACGGGGGAAGGCTGGGTGATGGCAAGATGAACGCACACAGCAGATGATGGAGGCTCAGTGTGTGTCCACCCAAGACACCCCAGGTGTCTTGCAGCTTTGGAAGTGTGTCCAGGTTATTCACTGCATGTCTCTTAGGATAACCAACATTGCTGGGGAAGCTGGGACGTAGGTCTTCAGCTTAATGTATGAACTTCAGGGTAATGATCATTTGTCCTTCTTGAGGTTACAACTGATTGGATTGGGGGCCTGGCGGCGCAGCCTAGCGGCCAAAGTCCTCGCCTTGAACACGCCGGGATCCCATATGGGCGCCAGTTCTAATCCCGGCAGCTCCACTTCCCATCCAGCTCCCTGCTTGTGGCCTGGGAAAACAGTCGAGGACGGCCCAAAGCCTTGGGACCCTGCACCCGTGTGGGAGATCCGGAAGAAGTTCCTGGATCCTGGCTTTGGATCGACATGGCATTGCCATTGCGCTCACGTGGGGAGTGAATCATCGGACGAAAGATCTTCCTCTCTGTATATCTGACTTTCCAATAAATAAATAATCTTTTAAAAAAACAATTGATTGGATTGCCACATGGACTTGTGATTTGTTAATTCTAATGCGTCCTGTTATCACATGTCCGGCATGATCTCACTCATACTTTGCAACATGCTCACTCCACCCTCAAAACTTCCTGTATGCCATGTCCTTCACAATTTTAATCACACTTTCTAAAACTTGAAAAGCAATCTCTACAAAAGTGATCTGTAACAGCAAAGGGCTCTCGGTCCCAGGCACCAGCTCAGCCCTGCACCTAGCAAAGGGCTCTCGGTGCCAGGCACCGGCTCAGCCCTGCACCTAGCAAAGGGCTCTCGGTCCCAGGAACAGGCTCAGCCCTGCACCTAGCAAAGGGCTCTCGGTGCCAGGCACCGGCTCAGCCCTGCACCTAGGGGCCGGTTCTGCTTTGGGAACATCCCTGAAAGAGAATTTGAGCTTTTCCAAACCAGAATGGTCCAGTCTCTTCTGAATCTTAGGTGCTTGTGATAACACTGCCACCCCTTGGCAGCACTAGGGAAGGCCATGTGACTGCCAACGTGGCCAACTGCTGGCTCCAGGGTGGCGAAAGGGACCCGAGGTCCCTTCCAATGAGGTTTCCTTGACCACCTCCAGAAGCGCTGTTTCCTGGTGGGCTTCCCTGGACATTCCTGTGCTCCTGAATGCTGGACCTGATGCTGAGGTGGCCTCCCAGGGCAGGAGAACCAGGGCCCCTCACGGAGGTCCACCAGCTTCAGCAGAGCTCTCGCTATGGCAACCACTCCAAACAGACAGGGGCTCTGAGGAGAGCATCTTTTGTCGCCACGGCAACAGGGTACACCAGCAGCAGCTCCAGCTCATCTCTGCACAGAAGCAGCGGCTCTTTTGTGAAATCCTTCCTCCACAGCACGGGCCTGCTGCAGTGCAGGCTGGCGAGCTGTGAGGGGATGGGCAAAGGCTGAAGTCCAGAAGCCAGCTTGCTGGGAGCGCCTGCGGACACAGGTCACCACGGCCATGTCCCTCAGCAGATGGCTTTTAAAACACAGCTCTGTTCTCCAGGTCATCCCATGACGCCACCTTTTCGGTGGAAGATAAGCAAGAACGTGTGCATGTCGGCCAGCACAGCTCCCCACATGATGCTCCCCTCCCCGACGCGGCATGGCCAATGCACAGTGGAGAAGGGGGCAGTCCCCACTGTCCCAGCCACTGTCCCAGCCACTGTCCCAGCCAGCCCTGCCCCCAGCCCCCTACGCTTCCCTATCACTGGGGCCTGGAAGAAACAGCATGCAGGAGCAGCAGCTGAGAGGCAGGCAGGCCTCACCCAGGGCGGAGGGAGCCAGGAAACCCCGGTGTGCTCTCTGTGGGGCCTCCGTCCACGTGGCAGTCTGGGAACCAGCAAGGACGCCTTGTGTGCACAGCGAGCTCCCCATGCCACTCTGTGGACAGTGGCATCTGGCGGCAAGACGCCTGCCTGTTGGCACAAGTGGCTGCTGGTACTCACGTTCAGGCCTTGTCCCGTGGCCGGCTGCGAGGCGTCCTCATCACTCTGTGCACCTGAAGGTCCGAGCTGCTCAGCCTGCAACAAAGCACACAGGCGCCCGTCACCTCTGCTGTCAGTGACTTCACGAAGGAGGGAAGCCTCCTCAGCAGCAGGACCTGGCCAGCCCGGCAGCTGGGAGCGGCTCCGAAACAGCCTGAGCCCAGGAGTTCCCAGGTTGGGATGCCAGCAACAGTCACATCTGGGCACTGGAGCGTGCTTTCTTCTTTCCCGAAGTAGCTTAGAGCACACACACAGTTTGTGAACAGCCATGGGGCGTGGGCCTTAGCTCAGCCAACGGGTGAGCTGACTGCCTCGTGAAGCCGCAGGTCAGCCACACAGACTCGTGGAAGAGGAAGCACACCGCCATCTGCAGGTCAGTGCTGGAACTTCCCAGCCACACAGGTGAGCCTCTGGAGCTTTGTGAGCATGGCAGCCAAAGGGGGGACTGTATTAGTGTAACGGCCTGAACGTGGCATGTAAGAGCTTCAGAAGGAAGGGCTCTGCCCTCATTTACTTCAGCCCTGTTGGAGTCGGCGCTGTGGCACAGTGCATTAAACACTATCTGCAAGACCCAGCCCCTTGGCGGTGCACTTCGGAGCTGCAGAGGATGGTCCGAGTGCTTGGGTCCCTGCACGCACTTGGGAACCCCGATGAGGCTCCTGGCTCTTGTTTTCAGCCCAGCCCAGCCCTGGTGGATGCAGCCATTTGGGAGTGAGCCAGAGAATGGAAGAGCTCTCTTTCCCTCTCTCTGTAACTCTTTCAAATAAATAGTCTTAAATAACTAACTACATACCTGAAGAGATTAAAACACACATATGCAGACACAGCTCTGTGCAATGCACTAGAGTTGTGTAACTGTTAGGTGCAGTGACAACTCTCCCTGCTCAGTTGCTCAGACACGTCTTTAGATGGTCAGCCGGCTCTAAAGCACGTAAGAAACCATCTGAAGAGTCCTTCATCCCAAAGTCTTACTGACAGAGATGGAAGCCCACGCTAATCCATCATGGCGCTGTGCAGACAACTAACAGCAGGGACTTTGCAGAGCCACCCTGGGCACAACACTACCAGCTCAGCGCTGCTCTACCATGCTCTCTGATCAGCGAGATGGAGTTGGGAGAGTTACACTTCCCAGGAGGTGAGCACAGCAGATCAAGCTGCAAAACTGGGAAGGAAGAAGCAGAGAAACCAAAAGGCAGCCAACAGTCAGTGGCAGTCAAGATGGGGCAGGGGTGTCCACTAGTGGTCAGTGGGGTGACAGGGGCAGGGGCGTTCATCAGAGGTCAGTGGGGTGAGAGGGGACAGGGGTGTCCACTAGTGGTCAGCAGGGTGACAGGGGGAGGGGTGCTCACCAGCAATTAGTGGGTGAGGGGGAGGGGCATTCAGAGCAAAGTGAAAAACATGAGTATGACAGTGGCAGAAGTGTCTGAAATGTAAGGCAGCCCTACCAGACTGGCCCCGAGGGGTCAGTGTGGCACCACAGCAGGCTGATCCTCCTCCCTGCAGCACCACTATCCCACGTGGCTGCTGGTTTGTGTCCCAGACACTCCCTTTCCCATCCAGCTCCCTGTGTGTGGCCTGGGAAGACAGCAGAGGATGGACAAAGCCTTGGGATCCTGTACACTCAAAAGCCCTGGAAGAAGCTCCTAGCTTTGGATTAGCACAGCTCTGGCTGGTGCAGCTAAATGGGGAGTTAGCCAGCACATGGGAGGCCTTTTCTCTCTCATCATTAAATGCAATTTTCAAATAAAAATAAAAAAATCTTAGAGACAGGGAAGGGTGGGCAGGTACCCCGTCATTGCTGAGGACCATACCCTGCCTCCCAGGTCAGTCTGGTGGGTGGCAGGCAGGAATCGAGTTAGGAACCTGTGGGCTGGGACATCTGCCCGCTGTGTCATCTCCGCAGCTCTACCCCTCCTGTCGGCCCCAGGCAGCTATGTTCCCAGGATGCACCTGTGCCTCACCTGGGGCAGGAAGGAGGGGGAGCCATGGAGCTCCTGGGAACGCTCTGGTGCTCCGGACCCTGCCAGGTCCATCCCAACCTGTGTAGTCTGATGCCAGCTCTGCCTCCCACCTTGGCTCTCCACTCACACCCAGGCTGGTTCCGCGAGGCGCTGCCCACAGTCCTATGGCCCCGCACTCTCCTTCACCCCAGTCCTCATCTCCAGGGGGGCCAGAACTCCAGGTGAAAAACCCTGGAAGGACATTCCACGTGGTGGCGGAGCTGGCAGCATGCAGTGCTGGTCATGTTCCCTCACACTCCTCGGCAACAACAAGAACCTTCACGGACAGCCCACAGTCAGATTCCAAAGCTAACCGAGCAGTCGCTTGTCCTCTGCCCAGAAGGGTGAGGAGGCTGGGAGGCGCTCAGAGGCCACCTGGGGAGAGGCGTTTGCAAGCACACAGGATAGGAGCCAGATCCAAGACAAGCAGTGATGCCTCCAGCAGAAGGGAAAGGGAGCTGAGCTCGCACCAGTCTCTCAGAGCCCTGCCAAGCCACACTGGAACCCCCAGCAAGATCCAGGGTGTCCGTCTGCAGCCTGGGCTCACCCCCAAGTCCAGCAGTGGAGGGCACAGGGCCAGGAGCCACCAGCCTCAGGCCCAGCGCGGGGACCCACGTAAGCCTGGTCAGGAGCCTCATGGCTGCAGCACACCAGCTGGCGGCCCCGAAGCCTGGCATGCAAGGGATGCTTCTTTTGAATAGGAAAAGTACAAGACAATAATAAAACACGCCCTTTCTGGAGGTTAGAAGACACCAGGGTTTGGAGATTCCATGCCTGATTAGTCATTTCTACTTTTTGTACTACATCTTTACATACTTGCCTAATATTGCTGAGGAATTATTTCAAAAAGACCAGCCAGATACACACAACACGAACCCTGCCCAGATCCTACTGTGGATCAAAACTTCTCAGAAGCACTGGGGACGGGCCAGTGCCCAGGCCCTTGGGCTGGCTGTTCCAGATAGCCATGGCTGCCCAGACTCTGGCTGCTGGGTGCTGAAGTGGCTCCGCATGGCCAAATGCAAACGAGGGTCAGGCCTCCCTTGCCCCAGGGGACACCTCTCTAGACCCCAGTGGGTGTCCAGAATGGCAGTCAGTACTGGCCAACCCCTGTACATTCTACCTGTTTCTTATACATTAACATTATGCTGTAATGACAAGTCATACAGACGACAGCTGGTGCTGCAGGCGTGATGTGCACGTGGCCTCCAGCCCCCAGGTGCCACCCTGCACGGCACTCCCCATCCTGCCTGAGACCTTGCAATGGAAGCCCCAGTGGAGGCTTGCTGCGGTAGCACTCCCTCCTTCCCTGGGGGCGGGGGAAGCCAGGACCGCGGTTCCTCATGCTCGGAAGCAAACCAGCACAGGTCTGGGACAGACCCCTCCCAGTCAGAGCCACGCTCGCCAAAGCCACCACGTCACAGGGACAGACCCTCCCAGTCAGAGCCACGCTCGCCAAAGCCACCACGTCACAGGGACAGACCCTCCCAGTCAGAGCCACGCTCGCCAAAGCCACCGCGTCACAGTGCACACAATCCATTACCTTATGACTGCTTCTTCGGTTAGCTTTGAAAAATCCCAGGATTTTCTTCTCTTTATCGGTCTCTTCATTGCCAAGTGAGGATTTTCTGAAAGTCCCTGGAACATCAAAAAAAAAAAGAGTGCAAAGTTCTTCTTCTGCCCTTGAAACAATTCCAAACTCTTCACTTGGGAACTATCGTGGAGTGAGCAGCCTCCTCACAACCCTTTCACGGCTCTGAGAAAAGAGAATCTGCTTACTGCTTCCAGAGCTCCCTGCATCACCCAAGGCCTTCAGAACCACGACAGACTAACAATCACTTGGCCCAACCCAGCCCCATCAGCTCTTCCATCCCGTGGTGCAGTCACACACTACCTACTGACAAGAACGCTCCTGTTCCGGGCTCACTGCTGATTTCAGAAGTGGCACAGCCCAGCAGCCAGGCACCATGTGTGGTGCTGAACCAGGGGAGGTTCAAGAACAGCTGCCCAGGTCCACAGCCTTGCTGCCCAAGTCCAGCACAGCTGGGGCCACCCACGGCTCCCTGAGATAGCCCATGTGGTCTGAGCTCACTCCCTCTGGGGGCAACTGTTTCTTTTCACCCCCAGGGCTCTCAGTCCTCGGTCTCCCATCTTGGCGTTCTTGTCATCGGGATCTAACAAGGAGGCCAGGCCCTCTCTATGAACAACAGGCAACCACAGGCCTGCAGGGAAGGTAGAGCAGCCCACCAGCCAGCTGGCTTCGGCGTCTGCTGACACGCCTCCTCGGAGTCAGGGTGGGCACAGGTCAGAGCGTGGGCACTGCAGCCGAGATGGTATCACTACCTGGCAGCCCCCTGGTCACAACAAAACAAACTCGCCAGTCCTCATACCATCCTGAAAGGCACACAGGCTCACACTGCCGGCAAACACATGCAAGGGGTCTCAAACACACGCATCCAGACGAGCAGACGGCTCAGCACGGCGCGAGTGGGAGACATGCGCTCACACACATGTCCTGCCGGGCCATTTGGTCACAGGTCCACAGCAGGGAGAACCTGAACCTCGGACATCAACATGGCGCTGCATGGTGCCTGGATGTGTGAAGTCACGGAGGTGCTGGGGTGGCAGACACGAGTGCACCCCACGGAGGGGGCTCCCTCTGGGGGCAACTGCACAGAGGCTGTGTCCTAGCAGGCCCAACCCATGGGCACGGACAATGCCAGAGCAAATGCCAGGCTGCCGTCTCTCCCTCTCTGGGCTGAGGACTGCTCCATTACAACACAGGCCACCTCACCCCAGCAAGGGCGCAGGGGTGACCCTGGCTCCAGAAATACTGTGCCTGCCCATGGCTGTGTGAAGGTGGCAGGGCCCAGGCTCACTGCTGCTTTCGGAAGTGGCTCTTCAACAGGCTCATCTGTCTGTGGCTTCAACGTGCCCCTTGGGCATGGCAGAGCCCACAGGAGGCTTGGTTAGACACAAGCTGGGGACATCATCCTGGCATCAGGCGCCTGTTCTGAGCTGTCAGAGCAGACTGCAGGGTGGGCTAAGTGCCCATGCATGGCCACGCCAGTGTAACCTGGTCTGAGTCTGCCCATCTGAATGGGCTGCTTGGCACCATCATGGGGCACATGAGTATGGAAGAGGCATCGGGGGTCCCTGACACCCACTCCACTCGCAGTCCAGACTCCGGACCAGCACTGCTGGACGTTTCCCTCTTTAAATACTTTCTTCCTGGAAATACTATCTCTGTTGTGAATGCTTAAGAGATAAAAATCTTTCTGCAAAATCAAAGATACATCATACAAGATGATTTTAATCAATCTTTCACTGCATGTGTGTATGTGCATGTGTGTGTGCTAAACCTGTTTCCGACCTGTGTGTGCACAGGAACACATGCGTACAAGACTCTTACGCTGATGTGCGTGTTTCTCCACACATCCTTCCTGACACAGATCTCTGCCTACGGAGAAAACTCTCACCAACAGGATCTGAACAGAAGCAACAGTCACTGGCATGCCAACTAGGAAAGCTTCAACCTCACACTCAAGTCCGCCACATGCAGGAGAAACCCCAAGGGCAAGTTAGCACGGGTCACAGAGGCATGGCCACTTTCTGCACTCGCCACTCCACCAGCCCCAGGGACACCCAGGCCTTCCGCTGCGGCATCCCTCAGGGCTTCCACACTCCAGCTGCACAGCTGAGTCTCAGGGTGCGGGGACACAGCACACTGCAGCAGCACCTAGGTCAGCTCTACAGCGCCCCCAGGTGGCCTGCAGGCCCCCACGCAGCATCCCGCCCTTCACGGTACCTCCATGGCTCAGGCACGGCTCAGACTGCGTTTTGGTCAGAAGAACTGGAAGAGGTAGGGAAGCAGGAGGTGAGCACCCAGCCCCAGACCCACAGCAGCCCAGTCTAGGCCGCAGATGTGATGGGGTGTGATGGTCATGAGGCCAGGCATGAGCTGGCCGCAGGTGTGATGGGGTGTGATGGTCATGAGGCCAGGCATGAGCTGGCCGCAGGTGTGATGGGGTGTGATGGTCATGAGGCCAGGCATGAGCTGGCCGCAGATGTGATGGGGTGTGATGGTCATGAGGCCAGGCATGAGCTGGCCGCAGGTGTGATGGGGTGTGATGGTCATGAGGCCAGGCATGAGCTGGCCACAGGTGTAGTGGCCATGTGTAGTGTGGGTCTTGGACCTGAGCTCCCGGCGTTCCGGCTGGGTTGCGCAGGCCACGAATTCAGGTGTGAGCTGGCCAAAGCCTGGCACTCGGCCTTCCCAGGGAGTCCTGGGGAGGGTGGCGTCTCCCCAGGGTCACCCAGAGGGTCAGTCAGATGGCTGCTGAGGTTGCCTGCAGGTAAGGGACTCCAGGGACAACTTCCAGATGTTTTTTTCCCACCTTTTCAAGGGCTGGGGTGGGCAGCAGGACCCCGCGGGGCCTTTGGCAGGGTAGAGGATCAAGCGTGCCCAGCTGGCTCACCTCAGGCTAGGTCCAGCTGAAGGGCAGGGCCCCTCACCGGGGGTCTGGGAGGTATGGGGAGCGGGCTCAGGGGCTGGGGAGTGGCTGACATCTGATAGCTGTGTGGCTGCCTCTGCGCCAGGAGGCCAGGGGCCTGCCTGGGTCCCTCTGCAGCAGCGGGCAGGTCTCGTGTGACTTCTGCCATGCGGCGGGGTTAACAACTGTCTTCTGGAACAGGATGTGCGGCACACAGCAGAAACGCCTTCTTCTTTGGACTGGAGTGTGAGCTTGCTTTGGCTTAGTGGCTTGCAGTTCTGCTTCCACAGGGGCACCGAAAGCAGAATCAGGGCTGGCAGAGCCAGGCAGAGGTACTGAGCAGCTGGGCAGAGCTGTGGACGCTGGGAGAGTTTCTGTCTGCACTGTGTGCAGCATGGCCCCAGTCAGTGCAGGGTTTGTCTTGGCCAGTGTGCTGGCCACTGAAGGAGCACAGTCCATATGACTCCCATTCCACTGGGACACAACCCCTTCCTCAGAGTCAGGTTATGCAGGGGGCCTAGGAATGTGGGGGCTGTCCTCTGAAAATGGACATGGCACCATCCCTATCCTGTCTGGTCAGTGAACATGAAGTGTGCGATGTGTGCTGTGTGATGTGTATGTTCTGTGTGAGGTGTGTGTGTATGTGGTCTGTGGTGTGTGTGTGGTTTGTGATGTGGATGTGTATGGTCTGTGATGTGTGTTTGATGTGTGAGGTGTGTGGTCTGTGGTGTGTGTGTGTGATATGTGTGTGTGTGTGAGGTGTGTCTGTGGTTTGTGGTGTGTGTGTATGTGTGATATGTGTATGGTGTGTGTGTGTGAGGTGTGTGGTCTGTGGTGTGTCTGTGGTCTGTGGTGTGTGTGTGTGAGGTGTGAAGAGTGTGTGTGATGTAAGAGGTGGATGGTGCACCTGTCATGTCCATCATGTGATGCCCTGGCCCGTGTCGGGCAGCAGGGGGCAGCGCTCACCTCCTCTGTTGTCCCAGGCGTACAGCTCCTTCAGTCCCAGCTCGTTCAGTGACTTGGACAGCTCCAGCTCCTCCCCGTTGATGTTGTCCCTGAGCAGAACCACGTGGTCTGGACTAACGTTACACTTTGCACAAATGATGGGCAGAATGTTCTGGAGTGGGACCTCAGGGCTCACACGCACAACAGCTTTCTGTGTCCGCAGGTAGTTCACCACCAGGCGCATAGATTTCTGTGAGAGCAGAGCAGATGGGGTGGCTGTGTGAGCTACCATGGGTGTCCGACGCAGCAGGAGGCAGCTTAGCCAACTGCCCTGTGACACCCACCTGCATACTGTGATTTGAAAAGGCAGAGATATTCAGTTGACCTTTCAAGAGTGCCAAAGGACTGAGCAGCGTGACTTTCAGCTGGGGCGAACTGTCCAGACTACATCCTTACATGATAAGCCCCAGGAATTGATTTTCATTAAAATTCCCAGCTCAGAAGAAAGCTGTGGATGCGATGAGGAACTCCCCAGACACAGTGAGCAAATATCGATGCCCCGACTTCTCATGGGGAAAATGCCCTCCATTTCCCCTCTCTCTGGGAAGCTGTGCGAATGTTCCACAGACCCTGACTGCCTGTGGAAGCATGCAGATCCCCACAGGTGCACCACACCACAGGACTGGCCATGTTGCAGGCATGCGGAAGCTACCTGTGGCCAGCAGCTGCTGCTCCGGAAGTCACAGCACCAGGCCATCTGAACAGACTCCTGACAGTCAGCAATGTGCAACAGAGCAATGCCAATGCCACAACACAGCTCAGCGTTCTGCAAACTCTGACTCCTTGGCAAAATCCAGGCCAGGGCCCAGCTCCATCCATCCTGGGGAACAGGTCTCAGCCACGCAGTGTGCCTTGGCCCTCAGAGTCCCCGTTCCCCGCCACGCCCCCGCGGGCCCGGCACAGCCACTGACCTCGGGCACCTTGGGAGGGACAGCTGTCACCTTCTCCTCCGCGACCTTCTCTTTCAGATGCACTGTGTGTATGTTCAGAGTCCCGAGCAAGGTGTTGGGCTTGAAGCTCAGCGCCTGCTGCGTCTCTGCAGACCGGGCCTCCAGGGCGTGGTGAGACGGGTTCAAGTGGTTCTGAAGGCACAACTCAACCAGAAGGTCCATCATGGCCTGGCTGCAAGCGGAAACAAGTGATGATGATGGTGACGGCTTCCCGCCCAGGGACGCCGGGGGCAGAGCAATCATGCAGATGAGAGAAGACCGCCACAGTGCCTTAACGGCTTACAGGTGACCGTACAGAAGGACACCGCCACCTTTAATTCCAGCATTGCCATGAGAAGAGCAAGCAGGTGACAACTGGGAAAACAGCTGCATATCTAGTTTAATGTGTGGGTCTGCAGTGTGAGGTCTCAGGCTTAACACGCCATGACTGACGGGTACGAGACTCTGACGCTCAGCTATTCCCCCACACGTTGTTCTCGTGGAGGCTGGGTTCTAGGCTGTGGGGGCACCACAGCCCCCCAGGCACACACTCTGACCAAAACAGAATCAGGGGACCGGAAATCCTCGACACAGGGAGGCTAAGGCAGTGGCTTACAAAGATAACTCCAGGGCCAAGTGGATTCTATGGAAACTTCTACCAGATATCAGTGAAGTCAATGTGACCTGAAACAACAGTGGGACAAAGACTCCAGGTAGCAAAGGGTCGGGTCACTGTCCCCAAGGAACAGTGCTGAAGTTCTCAACAAATGGCTGGAGCAGAGCTAACCGCACATTACAAATACTCTGCACCAGGAGCAGGTGGGATCCACTGCTGGGTGCAAGGATGGCTCAGCAAGGGCCAGGCCCTCAACGGAGCTCACCGTCACCACAAAGGGGCCTGGACGACCACACAGTCAGGCTGGCAATGCTGCCACTCCAGTGAATTAGTGGGCGCTGAAGCACAGTCCAATCAGCACATGGATCCCGTGCCCAGGTAATACACAGCAACGGATCCTCTGAGGATCCATTTCCCAAGACCTCAGAATTTGTGCAAACGCTGTTTACAGCCTCTGCACCGACCAAGTCTCTTACAGGCCTCACAAATGCCAGCAATTTGGTACCCACTTCCATCAGTGGACAGATAGCCACATTCACATCTGTGATCCTGAGAGCCCAACAGGCAGGCACCCTCCGTAGGGGCCAGCGGGTGCTGTGTTCACAGCAGCTACTCCGCGAGTCATGCCACACAGAGCCAACCTCACCAGGAGAACGGAGCATTAAGAGCATTAAGCAGACATCCAGTGGCCTTTGCTCGAGGACACAAAGGAGGTGGACACATCTCCACAGGCAAGGCAGGTGGCTGGCAGAAGGTGTGTCGGGGGAATGGCTGTGCATTCCAGGAGCTGACAGTTTTCCTAGTATTCATGGGACCAGAGGTTCTGTGGTCCCAGCATCCTCTGCACCTCTAAGGGGGTGGCTCAAATGAAGACGCAAGTTAGCCAGATCTAACTGCAGGCAGCTCCTGGGAGAGCAACCTCCTCCCAAGGGTCAGCATGGGGCCCCTCCTCCAGCCCTGGGGAGAGGGACCCAATGCGAGGGCAAGCTGTGGCTGTGACTGCTCAGAGCTGCCTCCATCAGTGCCTTCCTGACAGCCTGGGGCTGGGGGCTACCAGGAACTCCTCCCCTTGTGCCTGGAAATGGGCAAGCCCAATGTGGGGGGCTGCCTGCACCCGAGATATTCTATAGTGACCAGTGCTAAGGAGCCTACCGCTGCAGAAACACAGTGGCGACCGAGAACCAGGGCAGGCATCCCCAGCTCTGTAAAGGCTGAGTCTGGCTTCCCTGCCTAGCCCCAGGGCACCTCAGCACAGCACACACAGCCTCATGCCACTTCGGCTAGCTCTCCTCCTGCTCCAGGACAGCACGATGGGAGCAATGAGGTCCTTCTAGCTACAGGTGGCATCCTCCAGCACTGATCTGAGGACCTGCCTCAGCCCCCACATGTATTTTCTTAAAAATATATATGTGTGCACACAGCCAGAAATGTTAAACCCACATGTGAGAATGTGAACAAACTAGAATGAACTCACTGATAAAGCTCCATACACATTCTAGAATCATTCCAAAGCCTGTAATAATCCAACATGTTTTGAACTCATGAAGTTTCATGGAGCATGTGCTTAGGAACACGCGGTCCAAGAGCCTGCTGTCTGGCACACAGCCCCAGGACACCGAGGCTCTGGGCCTGGACCCCTCGGCTGCTGGGGCACTCCCCTCCTCCTCCATGGCACAGCAGGCCCCACTCTGTGCAGGTGGCCCAGGGAATGTCTCGGCCTCCCCCGATGCAGCCAAGGACTTCATGTCTGCTGAGAAGCCTCGGCCAGCTCCAGGTGGACCCTGAGGCCAAGCCAACAGCCCTTGTGTCCCCCATGCCTTCTGCCTGTGTCCTTCTGCCCACTGGACAGGCATCTGGAGTACCCCTCCTTTGGTAGCCGGCCACTTCAGGAAACAGTTGAAAGACCCGTAGGGCTTCAGGCGCCATCTAAGTGCCATGCCATGAAATCAGCATCCTGCAGATACCCGGTGATGCAGGCTGCTTTCCAGGACCAGCCCTCACGTGTGGATCTGTTATCCTCTCCATCCCGATGAGGCTGTGGACACTCACGCCTGCCACGGGATCCCTCACACACCTCTATGCTGCCAAGGTCCCTGATGTCATCTTTCTGTCGCCTCCAAGCCCAGAGCAGGCTGCTTTTCCAGGGCCAGTCCTCGAGTGTGGAGTCTGTCATCTGCTCGTCTCAGGATCCCACACACACCTACCTCTGCATGCCGCAAAAGTCCCTGGATGTCGTTTTTCTGATGCTTCTCTTCTGGGTGTGCTATTTTGTCACAGCAGTCACAACAGCCAGCAATGGAAATAGTACAGGACTGACAGCCACGGAACCGTGAGACTCTGATCGACACCAAGCGTTAACTTGAAATTCCACTGGTGCAGGTACATCACAGCATGGCAGGTGGTTCTGCTGGCACTTGAGCTGTGCCCTCTGAGGGTGCAGCAGCTGCTGACACCAGGTCACAGTTGGGCACAGCAGCCAGTCAAGAGGGTGTTCATGGTGCTGAGGACCTAGAATGTTCCCTCACATTGGAAATCAAGGCAATGAGTTTCAGTCCTCGATATCACTGCCTGCCCCTGCTTGCCAGCTGCTCAGGAGGCTCAGGGGGCACCTGCACGGTCCCCCAGGAAGCTGTCCTCCTGGCTGTGGGACTGCAGAGCTAAGGATGCTGTGACAGACTCGGCTGCTGCTCCAGTCCCAGGGGCCATGACTTTCCTGGAAGTGGATTGGGTTTTCCATCTCAAGCCTACCGTTTGCAGTAGGGAACCACAATGTCCCAGCTCTGTTATGGACTGAGAGCTCATTCCAGGTGACATGGGGTGGGCATCCCAGTCTGTCCCCGGTGACAGGGGGAGGCAAGTCCTGCATTGCTCCCAGAGCTAGCACAGGACACATCATATCACAGCCTCCTTTCCCCTCTGCAGTCCTTGGGGGGTATGGGGGAGACCCTTACCTGCTGCTGACCACACTCTGCTTCTCCAGCCCACTGGGCAGAACCACAGTGAGGGTCAATGGCCCATCCCTAACCGGGGCCAGGTTTGACTGCAGGCTGAGGTCAGAGCTTCCCAGAGGCCTCTGCTTGTCCAGGGTGTTCAGGAGGGCCGGATTCCCCGGGGGTGGGGGAGCCCGGGCCTTCATCTTCTTCCTGCAAAAGAGAGAGGCACTGAGCGACAGTCCCCACTTTGCACAAACCCTCCTTGCCAGAAACACCACACGGCAGCAGCTCCAGCACATTCTGGTCATCTAGAAATTTGTTTATTTGGAGAGACAGAAAGCCCCACCCACTGATTCACTCCCTATTTGCCTAGAATAGCTGGGGCCAGACTGGGGCCCGAGTCTGGAGCTGAGAACTCTACAAAGGAACCAATTTTTTGAACTTGAAGCTGAGTTTGGAACACCTTCTGCACCTACTCAGGAGCCTCTAACCCTTGACGGGAGCTGTCCTTGCCGACTGAAGCCCATGGCTAGAAGCTCTGTGGTTCTTGCAGAACAGCCAGCAAAGGTTAATGACCCCGCTTCACAGAGGTATCCTATTTTACACGTGGAGCACGTGTATGGATGTCTACACATGTCCACATGGCCATATACGTGCACACATGTTATAAATACATATAGAAGGATATGTGTATACCCATACGTTGCCTGTACCTCGGCAATCTCAGAAGAAACGAATCAAAGCTATGAGTTCCTTTAAAATACTAAGGCAGATTTGAAACCCATAAGTCACTTGTTCATCAGATGCATCTTCCACACCATGGCAAAAAAAAAAAAAAAAACCTTTGCACTAACATAAACTCCCACCTTAATCCCATCTTCCCACAACCGTTCTGAAGCACTTTCCTGTGCGTAAGCGCACACACACACGCACACACACGCTCCCATGTATAAATGTCTGCATGCCGCTTTGTGTTAGTAAACACACAGGCTCACACACCCTCACAGACAGATATGCACTTTCCTGTGAAGACCTGATTTCTTATGCCTTGCTGTCACCTTGTCCTCGGGGTGCTAGCACAGGACCGACTTGACTGTATGGAGCACTCACCACTTACAAGCACCTGTGCCAGCAAATGCTTTGGGAAGCCTTACTTGTTTAGCCCTCTGAGTGCTTCGCAGCTGGGAACAAGGAGCCTCGGGGAGATGTGCAGCTCCCTGCTCGTGCAGCATTGTTGGTCTTGGAGCCCACATGCAATCAGAGCCGGCAAAGACAGCTGGCTTGCTGTGACCATCTCCTCCCACCCTGGCTGGACCTGCTCTGCCTGGACATTCACCAGTGGCCCTCTGAGCACCTGGCACACTCACCCCTGGCAGCACTGACAGGAGGTGAGTGCAGGAGCTGTGCTTCTAGGGCTCTGCACCAGAGAAACAATGTCACAAGTCCATGTGGCAGGAGGCTCAAAGATGCCCCTTACAAGCCGGCTTCTGATGCAGATACACAAACCATCTAAGCACATAGCAGCAAGCAGGCAGGCATGCAATGGAACCATCCATCAGAAAATGAACAAGCCACGCTGTTATACCAGCACAGGGCACACAGCCTTCCAGGGCACAAAACCGATTTCCTCCCAAAAGGAAGTCTCAAAACATGACTTTTCAGAGAATCCCACCTTCAAAATTTATTGTCATTGTATCTGAAAGCAGAGAGACAGAGACAGGGAGAGGAAGAGAGAATATCTTCCATTGGCTGGTTTGTTTTCCAAATGCTAGGAACAGCCAGTCTGAAGCCAGTCTGGGTCTCTCATATGGGCGGCAGGGACCCACAGACTTATGCCATCCCCTGCTGCCTTGCAGGGCACAAGGGAGCAGAAGTGGGATGGAGACTGGAAGGGCCAGCACATGGGCCAGGAAGGGGATGGAGACTGGAGGGGCCAGGACATGGGCCAGGAAGGGGATGGAGACTGGAGGGGCCAGCACATGGGCCAGGAAGGGGATGGAGACTGGAGGGGCCAGCACATGGGCCAGGAAGGGGATGCAGACTGGAGGGCCAGCACATGGGCCAGGAAGGGGATGGAGACTGGAGGGGCCAGCACATGGACCAGGAAGGGGATGGAGACTGGAGGGGCCAGGACATGGACCAGGAAGGGGATGCAGACTGGAGGGGCCAGGACACGGGCCAGGCCCTCGGTATGGGATGCAGCAATCCTGGGCATGGATTTTCCACTGAACCAAACACCTGCCCCTAAAATTGCATTTCTGCAAGAGGATCATGTGTTGCAGCGTAGCTCACATTCTGGAAAGGTAAAAATGCCCAGCTGTGGCCTGCAGGTGACAGATGGTAGGACAAATGCAAGCATTTGGCTGCGTTTACTTCTACACACCTCCCGGTTGTTCTGTAACTGTGCCACCTGTACAACGAAAGTGATTGTTTACAACAGAGACGACAGCACCAACAGGGTTCAGATGCAGCTGCAGAATCATTGGTGCCACACCACAGGTCAACCCTGATCCTGAGCTAAGCCTCAGGTCACTCCTGTCACATTACAAGCTCCAGAGGAACATTGTAATAGCGCTCCATGCTGTATTCTTACAGACAGCAAAGGGGTCAGAGTGCCACCATCACAGTTCTTGCTTATTTACTCCTCACTGGGACAGCCTGGGCATTCCATCCAGCATGGAGACAGCCTGGGAGCCCCATTTAGCACTAGGACAGCCTGGGCATCCTGTCCAGCACTGGGACAGCCTGGGCCTTCCGTCCAGCCCTGGGACAGCCTAGGTGTCCCATCCAACACTGGGACAGCCTGGACTTTCTGTCCAGCATTAGGACAGCACTGGGGCAGCCTGGGCGTCCCATCCAGCACTGGGACAGCTTGGGTGTTTTGTCCAGCAGGAAAGGCATATGGGCCTAGCTTTCCCTAGCTCACACAGAGCCCAGACAACATGTGCCAGGGCCTGGAACTCTAACTACACATGATTTGGTTCCTGCTAGTAAGAAGAGATGAAAACAGAGGGAAAAAGCTAGCGACCTTCCTCCGGACACTGTCTGCCCTGCTGGGGGCTCAGGTGACATCTGAACCCCAAGGATGAAGGTCTGCACCAGCTGCCTGTTCATCCCACTCTTCAACCCCATCTGCTCGCTGGCAGCAACCCCAGCCATTCACACCTGCCCTGGACCCCAATTCCGGGAGATGGGGTTGTCTGAGGCCCCAGCCCCACGTGGACAGCCAAGGCCAGGGAGGTCTCTGTGGCCTGCACAGACCAGAAGCACTGCCGTGTGTGGAGCTATTATGCTGGAGAATCTGAGGATCATGTTGCTAGACAGCAACGCCCCCTCGTAAGTGGGCTGGGATTGTGGCTGCAGTGCTTGCGTGCCGTCACGAACGCACCTGGCATGCGAGCTAAGCCTGCAGCTAACACGTAATGACAGGTGCACGCCTTTATGTTTTCATGTGCTGGGAGGCATACACGAGAGCTCGGTATGCACAAACAGCACCTGCAGGGTGCATTAGCTCAAGAACTGCCCCCTCAGCGCTGTGCCTGTGAACACGGGGGCTTCGGGCTGAGAGGAGCTCAGTGCGGGGATCGCCGAGGGTCTCCCTGTGGACTGTCACATGGGTGAGCCGGGTCAGTCTGTCTTCCTGCCTGCAGAGGCACACCATTCTGGGAGCAGCAGATGTCACACCTGCTCTTCATGCACCTAGGTCCGGGCTACAACTCCCTTATCCGAAATGCTCGGAATTAGCACCATTCTGGGGTTGGAGTTTTTCAACTCTGGAATATCTGCACTTGCTTAATGGGGCTAGGAGTTCACTGTGGCTCCTCTGAGTCTCACGTACGGCCTGGAGGTGACTTCATATGACATGCTCAACAGCTCTGTGCAGATAACAAAGTTCTGGGTGTGGAATTTTCCATGTTAATGGGTCAGTGCTTAGAGAGGTTCCGATTTCAGATGCGGAATCTCAACCTATAATGAAACTGCTTATGGGTGATACTAGCCAGGCAGCTCCTGTCCTCAGGCACCGCAAGGAACATGGAGGAGTCTGAGACAGCAATAAAAAGAACATCACACTTGAAGGGACAGCGTGCACAGAGAGGGAGAAGTCACATAACCTGTGGGTGGGTGTCCACCCGGGCAGCGCCCTGGAGCCTGGCCCACTCTCCCTGGGAGGGGCTCAACCTGGGAGAGTGAGCCGGCTTGCTCTGAAGGCAACTTGCCCCATCTGGTGGCCTGGAAAAGCAGTGTGGCCTTTCTCCAAGGTCCTCACAGAGGCCGGGTTGAGTCTGGGGAGCACACCCAGCCCAGTGCAGGTGCTGCTGGCTGCAGCAAGCCACTCAGCCTGGCAGTCCTCCTCCCGCCCACTGCCCAGCAGGGGCAACGCAGGTCTTAGGACATGCCGAGTTGAGTGCACCTGACGGGAACCATCTATGAAGTGAAAATGCATACAGAACACGGCAACATTCCTGGCCTCTCTTGGACCATCAACATCATTTCAGCATCTGCAGCTGGAAGCCACCAAGACTCACTGGGCTCAGGTGATGTGTGTTCCCACACATGCTGGGCAGAGGTCAGCCAGCATTGTGAGCCTTCCAAGAGCCCTCTGCCACGCAGCAGAAGGATGAGAATCCGCCTCCCGCAAGGACCCAGGACGACGTGAGCTGAACGATTCTCTGACTACAAACTGCAGGCTTGGTTTCCAGGCAGCTGAATGAGAACCAGATGGCAGGCCTGGGCCGGGCAAGAGTGCAGATGCAACAGGCAGAACCCGCGGCTCCCTGTGGGCCCCAGGGCACGGACGAATACCCTGACGTACATCTGAGTTGCCTCCGCAGGCAGGCAGCAGACCTGACCCCGCTCACCTGTGTGACAACACCAGTTCCACCCATTTCTCATACACAGCAGCTGCCAGAGAGTCTCAGAGAGCAGCCCGGGCCACCCAAGCTGCTCCTGGTGACTGACCCATCATGAAGCAGGCCTGGTCAGGCTGATGGGTGCATGTTGTGGGCCTCAGGCCATCGCTGTCTCCCTGTCCGCTCAACTCGGAACAGGCAGTCTGCAGATTAGCTCAAGCTGTCAAGCGCTACATCCAGGGCTCAGGAGTTGGCCTGCTCCAGACAGAATCTAACGGGGAGCCTCTGCTGCCCCTGAGAACAGAAGAGGGACAGGGAGATGGGGAACACACCCGGAGGCGGCCGAGGGCTCTCATGCTC